TCCATCCCGTAACCAGGCCTGAAGCTAGATTTAAATGGATCTAGATAATCTGTCTCATCTAGGAACCCCTGGAGCTGAGAACTTACAACCCACTCCAGGACCTTGCCCAAGAATGGGATATTAGAGACTGGCTGGTAATTATCCAGTACTGTGGGGTCCAAGGAAGATTTTTAAAATAAGGATCTTATCAATGCCTCCTTTAAGCACACTGGGCTGCCCTGCTGCAAGGAAGCATTCACTACCCCTTGGACCCACTTGGCCAGTCCCTCTCTGGCAGCTTTAATAAGCCAGGAAGGGCAAGGATCTAGGAGACAAGTGGCAGCCTTCACCTCTCCAAGAGTCCTGTCTACATTGTCAGGCTACAAAAACTAAAACTTATCCAACAACACCGAACAAGCAGGAGCTATAGTTACATCTATGTATGTGTGTTTAGTCGTTTAGTTGTGTCCGACTCTTCGTGACCCCATGGACCAGAGCACGCCAGGCCCTCCTATCTTCCACTGCCTCCCGGAGTTGTGTCAAATTCTTGATGGTTGCTTCGCAGACACTGTCCAGCCATCTCATCCTCGGTCGTCCCCTTCTCCTCTTGCCGTCACACTTACATCTATAGGACCTGTATTAACTGCAGCATGCAGGTCAGAGTGGATCTGAGTGATTTTGGCTTCCACTTTCAAATACACACATTCAAACCTGGCAAACTGGGAGATTTGGCATCTCATCAAGGGAACAGAATCACGATAGACCACTGCAACTCCACCTCCCTGCACCCCCCAAGGTCTTGTTTGCTGCTGCACAGAGAATCCTGGTGGACAAAGCTGGGTGAGATTGACACCCTCAGCCTCATCCAACCAAGGCTCTGTTATATAAGCCAGATCAACCTGCTCATCCATTACCAAGTCCTGGAAGGCTGCTGTTTTTCCTTTTACTAATCTGGTGTTTAGCAGCAGCAGTTTCAACCCAGAGAATCTGTTACCACAGCTATCCAAGCTATCTAAGTACATTATACCTAAAAAATTCCTGGTAGGGTCTTCAGAACTGATGGTACGTATTTATATGTTATTGCTCTAGCTGGAGCTAACAATTAGATTTTGACACCCCCCCCCCGGGGGAGACATGTGCCTTCAAATATTGCTTTAAAATGTTGTAAAACACATTTTCACATTAATTCCCTTCCCCCTTCTCCTACAGAAGAGCAGCTATTTCTCCTTCCAAAATAGTTATGCTTTTTTTCTCCGCCCCCCCCCCCGCATTCCCCATTTAAGTATCAGTTCTTGTTGCCAGGTGCGCTACATGGGAGAAAGTCCACAAGGATTATTTTCTTTGCTAACAACCGAGTCCCTTTTTGGTAATATCTGTCTAGTAACAAACATGCAGGTAGAGCAGCATTGGAAAAGCATGCAAGCAATGTTAATGCTCAAGAAGAATCAGTCAAATCAATCATAGCAAGCCTCGAGCTTTCTTTCATCTGGCTACATTCCAGATCTGAAAAAAATTCTCTGCACGGCAAGAAATTGTAACTCCAAGGACCTATACTGATAGGTTTTCGTATATGTGTGACAGACCAGCATTATAGGTAATTAATGGCAATCAAGCCAACCAGTAATGTTCACCATCCGTTAGCACAGCAGGCCACACTAGACTCTAGAAAGGGTAGTTTATTTCTTTGTTTGCAGAAACCTTGGCAGCTATCGCACACGTACCTCTCGCTTGGTATTATCTGCAATGTCCGACAGGGACTCTCCAGGGTTTTAGGAAGTTATCTTTCCATTCCCATCTACAGACACCAGGGACTGAACTTGGTTTTCTGTATCAAAGGTATGTGGTCAACAACTGGGGTTTTGCTCTTCCCATTCAAGGGCACTGAATGGGCAAAATTAATTTCAGTAATGCAATTACTCCCCCTTTGTTTCATTCTCCTCTGCAGTTAGATTGAAAATAATGATTTTCAAATTTTTTTCAGATCGAAAATAATGATTTTCAATTCCCTGTCCATAGATATGCACAAAATCAAATTGTTGTGTGCATGTGTTTGCACACACGTGCACTCACAAACATATGTGCAGTGTCAAAACAGAGCAATTGAAGTCTGTTATTCTTGTTAGGTGCTATTAAGTCACCACCAAGAGTGCCCCTGTGAATGAGTGACTCCAAAATGTCCTGCCCTCAACAGCCCTAACTCAGCTCTTGTAAATTCAAATTTGTGGTTCCATTTAGGGAGTCAATCCATGTTATATTTAGTCTTCCTTTTTTCCTGCTGCCATCGACCTTTCCAACATTATTGCGTTTTCCAGAGAATCTTGCCTTCTCATGATGTGCCCAAAGTAGGACAGCCTCAGTTTCAAAATTTTTGCTTCCAGAGATAGGCTTGATTTGCTCTAGGACCGGCAGTCCAGGGGATCTGCAAAACTCTCCTTCAATACCATATTTCAAAAAATCTCCCCCTCCCCCCGGTTTGATTTCTTCACTCTCCAGCATCCTCATCCATATATAGTGATCAAGAATATAATGGTGTGGATGATCTTGGTCTTAGTCTCTAATCACTCATCCTTACAGTTGATAATCTTTTCTTGTTCCTTCTTTGCTGCCCTTCCTATTCTCAGTCTCCTTCTGATTTCTTGGCTGCAGTCTCCCTTTGAATTGATGATTGAACCAAGGTATACAAAATCTCTATTTCAATTTCTTCATTGTCAAAATCTGTAGTCATTTTGTAGTTATGATTTTGGTCTACTTAATGTTCAGCTGCAATCCTGCTTTGGCACTTTCTTCTTTTACTTTCCCTAAGTCATTACTGCTTTATGCTAGTAAGATAGTATTATCTGCATATCTTAAATTACTGATGTTTCTTCCCCCAATTTTATCAATAGTCTAAGATGTTTCTTCTTCTTGAAGTACGTCATCCAGATATTATTAATGTGAAAATGAACAAGATATTGCAAGTGCCTTGTACATTAGAAGGACTGGATAATGAAACCTGGAATTGCATTTAGGCAATATTAGAACTCTGTCAGTTTCCACTTGTCTTTAATAAATGGCTAATGTAGAACACTGTTTATAAAGCCATGCTCGGCCTCTTGTCTCTGGTAGAGAGATAATTCTTTGCACAAGGGTAGTATCAAGAGGTGCATGAACCACAGTACATTCTGTTCCTTCAACAAGTTTAGTTTAACCTATTTAGTTTCCTAAATAGCTGTGGATTATATTTTATAATAAAAAAATTTCTTTCGCATCAAGGTCATCATCTTTATAAATATTTGAGGGGAAAATGTAAGATCATATTTGAGTGCTACCCATGATATGTGTAGAAAGATACTTCAGGGTTTTATGATTAACCTTTTATTCCAGATTTCACAAGGTATTACAGTATACACATTTTATCTTATCTTCAAGGTTGTCAGCCAACTAGATAAAAAAAATAATAGCATACAGCCAGATGTCCTTTGAGTCTTTAGCAGCATCTGGATCAGCTAAAATGGCAGGTGGGGCTTTTCATGGTGTGGAAATCAGCACTGTCTTCCCCTAACGTCTGCAGAGATTAGGCCATTGTTGAAGGCAAGAAAAGAGGGTCAGTAAAAAGAAAATACTGGCACAATGCTGGATTTCTTCCCAGAAAATCTTTGTGGTGCCACTTCTTTCTCTTTTTTTTACATGACTCCTCAAAGAAAAAAAATGTGGGCTCTTAGCATTTTCCACTTAACACCCAGGCGTGAGAATGAGGCCTGCATTTATTTTATTTATTTATTTATTCAATTTTTATACCAGTCATCTAACCCAGTGTTACTCTGGATGGTTAACATTTTTAAACAAACAAGCAAACAAACATGTATGTTGTTACCCTAACGACGAAGAGCAGTGAGGGGTGAGGGATCTGAAGTGGGCTTGTGATAGTGAAATAATTGCCAGTGGCTGCTTTTTGAAGAAAATTATTTTGAAATATCTAATAACTATCCTGTCATTTGTCCTTTAGTAACATATCTACCTGGTTTTTAATCCCTGTCTTCATTAGTGAGATTGCTTAGAAGGCACAAGTCTGGCCAAGCCTTTGAGCAGAGGCAGTTACTTCAAGCAGCAGATGATGGGGTGAGGAAGGACTGAATTGTTAGTGCCTCATGACCTGCCCTGTTTAAGCTGGCCAATGATATTGTTTCCCTGCCAGCGTTGAAGTTACCCTGTTTCCCTGAAAATAAGACCTAACCTGAAAATAAGCCCTAGTACCGTATGATTTTTCAGGATGCCCGTAATACAGTGGTACCTAGCAACACAAATTTAATTCGTTCCACGGTTAATGTTGTCTTGCGAAAAATTCATCTTGCGAAACGCATTTTCCCATAAGAATGCATTTAAATCTAATTAATGCGTTCCTATGGGCAAAAAAAGTTAGACAAAGTCAAATTTGGTTTACAAAGGGTTTATTAAGTGCTCTTTAAAGCCATACATATTGTGCAGATGATTTCAAAAACTTCAGTCAAAAAACTTTAACTTTTTAAACATCATAGAAAAACGTTTAAAAATCAGCAAACATAGGGCAGGAACAAAAAACGGAAAACATTCGTCTTGCAAAGCACAGCCATAGGAACATTCATCTTGTGAGTCATCAATCCCATTGCCAACACCATTCGTCTTGCGGGTTTTTTGTCCTGCGAGGCATTCGTCTTGTGAGGCACCACTGTTTAAGCCCTACCCCAAAATTAAGCCCCAGTTAAGTGAAACCTCGCCCTCCACCATTGTGCAGCAACCAGAAGATGACATGACTGTATCTGAATAAATGTAGATTGTTGTACATGAAAAAAATAAAACATCTCCTGAAAATAAGCCCTAATGCATTTTTGGAGCAAAAAATAATATAAGACCCTGTCATATTTTTGGGAAAACATGGTAGAATTGACTGCCACTCTTGGCCCATGGAATTGGGGTGGAAGAGCTTTATTAGGCAGATTAACACAGTTCCCTCAGACAAAGGATGCTGGGAAGTGGTCCCTGGTTCATTATTTCCTTAAACTAACCTGTTGTCTTCAGGTATAGTGGAGGATGCTGCCAATGCTGAAAAACAAAAAAATATTTATTTATTTACTTAGCCTATAGGCCACCCGATTTATTGAAATCAGATTCAACTACAATTTCAATGAGTTTTTCCCCCAGGGGCATCTTGTCCTTCATCTCAGACATCAAACTGTTTTCAGCTGAGCCACAAAAGGGAACAACTAGAGTTCATCACAAAAATTGATTCCTTGAGGGTGGACATTTTGTCAGCTGTGAATCACTGTCGCTCAGTGAAGTCACTTCTGATGAAGCTAATCAAAATCATCTTCCAGGAGGAAAACATTTAAATGCTTCTCAGCCTAAGGCAAAACTGTATAGAGGCATCTAAAATGTCCATTCCTATTACTAGTGGCAGCTAGTGCTCACTACAATTGGTGGAGCACATTCAGAAGAAGGGAAATCTGCATACTCTACATCTAGAACACCTTAGCAAGGGATACCATAAGTCAGAATCAACGTGATGGCACATAATTATTAAGAAATAATAACTGCCTACAATGTGTGGATTATTTGCTCGTTCCCATTTTATATACTCCTCATTTTGTAGACAGAAGCTGTTATAAATCTGCACTGAGTTTTCCTGCTTCCCTCTGGAGTTTTTTTATTTAACTTGAGTCTATAATTGCCCTGTTTCAGCTGTGATGGAAAACAAGACAAGGGAACACTCTGTCTGAATACCTTCCCTGAAACCTTGATTATCCATGGCACTGTATCACAGAAAGCGCATCAGCAAGCACAATCTCAGCTGGGAAATGACTCAGCGCTTGTCTTGCAAAAGCAACGAGGTTGAGAGGACAAGAAAATTAAAGGTGGGAGAGAAGTATAGGAAAACAACAGCACACACAGTGTTCTTTCATAACCCAAAGCAAGCACTGTATGTTATGTTACCTGCCTCTGAATCACCTTTTCCATCATCGTCCTGAATAGCTCAGACAAGTAAAGCAAAAGATCAAGATGTCTGTTCAGGGAAAGGCAGGCTCCTGATATAAAACAGGCACAACTCTGGCCAGCTGACCTTCTCCTCTTACTGTTAACAAAGCTAGAGGGCAATGCAGGCTTCCAAAGTTCATTTGTTATTTAAAGAAATCTAACAGGTACACAAATACCATGACAGAAAGAGTATCACATTATAGAGGGCCTGATAGCCCTGGCAGCTAGGGACTCTGATATTGCAGAGGTAGGTGAAATTGCTTTGGGTTTTATTCCAAACTAGAGAGGGGCACAAACTGCTGATTTGCCGCAGTTCGTTTATCATCCACACAGCTCCTCTGTGGTTCAGTGCCCCGCCTCTTCCAGCAGGTACCCCCTTGAAGGCAGCACCTGCCAGAGGGGGCAGGGTGCTGAACTGTGGATCTGCTGTGTGGCCAGTAAAAGAAACTGTGCCGAATCGCTGAACTAGCAGTTCGTGCCCATCTCTGCTCCAAACTTTAAATGAGCTGTCTAAGCTACTGAACCTATTTTGGGGGCAGGGTTCAGTAGCTGTAACTCAGGCAGAGTAGATTCACTGTCTCCTTCCCCGTGACATTGGACTCACCTGCTTCTGCTACTTGCCACCCCAGTAAGATAAGAACAGGTGCCCATTTTTGGTTCCCTGATATGCAGGGATCACAGTCTTGCATAACAGGAGCATACAAAGACACATAGGAAGTACCAGGTTAGATCCTTGGTCTCTCTTGCCTGGTATTGTAGACTCTGGTTGGCCATGGATCTCTAAGATCCTATGAGTCTTTCCTAGCTGAACCTGACTTGAGTTTTCTGCATGCAAACTTATGAGTAGTGACTCTTCTCAAGGTCCGCAGTAATGGGGTAGGTTGAATTCATAAAATGAATCAAATGTTTTGGAATGAGAGAACTGGATGGATAGCTTAATTAGGTAGATTCTCCACTGTGTCTCCTAACAGAAAAGCCAGCCTATATAACCTTGGGCCAGAGTACAGTCCAAGAACACCCCTAAAAGGAGAGACTGGGAATCATAGAATCATAGAATAATTGAGTTGGAAGGGGCCTATAAGGTCATTGAGTCTAAAGTCCTGCTCAAAGCAGGTCCAAGTCAAAGCAAATCTGACAGATGGTTGTCCAATTTTCTCTTCAATGCTTCCAGCATTTGAGCGCTCACCACCTCCCGAGGTAATTAGTTCCACTGTCATACTGGTCTAATAGTTAAGAAGTTTTTTCCTGATACTCAATTGAAATCTGGCTGCCTATAGCTTGATCCCATTGTTACATGACCTGCAGTCTGGGATAATCAAAAATAGGTCCTGCCTTTCCTCTGATTACCTTTCAAGTATTTGAAAAGTGCTATCATATCTTCCCTCAGTCTTCTTTTCTCAAGGCTAAACATGTCCAGTTCTTTCAGTCATTCCTCATAGGGTGTTGTTTACAGTCCTGAACATACCTATTGCCCTCTTCTGAACTTGCTCCAGTTTGTTGGTATCTTTCTAAAGTGTGGTATCTGGAACTGGACACAATAGGTGAGGCCTACCCAGTGCTGAATAGAGGGGAACTAGTACCTCATGGGATTTGGAGACTATACTTCTGTTAATGTATCCTAAAATAGCATGGTTGTTATTTGCAGGTGTATCATACTGTTGGCTCATATTCAGCTTGGTGTTTTTTGCAGGTGTATCATACTGTTGACTCATATTCAGCTTTTGAGCTACAACAATTCCAAATCTGTGGGAAAACCCTGCCAAAGGCTGTTAGTTTTTATCTGTTACAGTGAAGAGCAAACTCTCCTGGCAGAGAGCAGTGACTCCTGATGGGCGGGGTGACCTCTCATTCTGCCTTTTCCCTTAGAGTTAGATCATAAGTTCAAAGACTTTCTCCGGCCAATCCTAGTGGCGATTAGGTAACCAGTATCCTATCTGCATTCTCACAACATTCTGTGTAATCCTGCTATGTTAATAAAAGAGTTCTCAAGGCGTTGCTTGAGGCTCTCTCTCCGCTGGTTTAGACATCTGCTTGTCCACTTCTTTGCAATTGTCTCTCTCTCCGCTGGTTTGGACATCTGCTTGTCCAGTTCTTTGCAATTGCCTTTCTATTGTTCCATGATCACCTACATCTGGCGCCCAATGTGGAGCCATAAACAAGCCATCAGATGCTTCAAACAGACTTTTGAAAGGGAAATCAACATTGCTTGAAGCAATCAACAGTTCACCATGCCCAGCAAGGTTTTCAGACACATCTTTTCATTCATTCTAGGATCCCGGTGAGTATTCAGTGAAAAAATAAACACAATGGGAAACTCCCACCACTTCAAAAAAGACATAAAAAGGAATGGATCTATCTGCTTCACAGGGACAGTTATAATGATGTTTCTGATCAGGTAGAGAATTTATTGAGGGAAATAAGTACTTTTTGTCCATTGTATAAGGAGAAGGGAAGTCATAAGCTTTCAAATTCGGATTAAATTGGAGATAAGCTTCACAAAGACCCTGTGAGTTCAGTAAAACCATAAGCTTTCAGATTGGGATAAAAACTCAAAGACACTGTGAGTTCAGTAAAAATTCTTCACACATGGCATTTTTGTCAGGATGTGATTTTAAAGATCACAAACCCTCTGTTAAGACAATCATTAGCCAATCTTCCAACAGGACCTCAGATTTTTCCACCCTCCAGGCCACCTGATCTCCGTGAAAATAGAAGCAATCTCCCTTCCTACACAGCCCTCACTGCTGTTGCTACAGTCCCTTCTTCTCCCCCTTCCCTCCTCCTCCCCTCCTTGCTCAGCAGTACAGCAAATGCTATCTGATGTTATAGCTCAAGGAAGCCCTCACAGTTCCCCCCCCCATGTCTGTTTGTCCTGTGGTTCGTAGCAACCAAGGACACCGTGTTGATGAAAATTCAAGCGAGGGGAACTCAATGAATGCTACACCGGTTCAAGAAATCCGACCTGCTACTGTTAAAAGTATCAATCATGATTTAATCACAGAGATAGAGTATCAATTCCCTCTCGCTGTCTACAAAGTCAACACAGCACATCATGGACCAATACCTAAAGACTCTGTAGGTCTCATTCTTCCCCGCTCTAGCATCTCTGCACGGGGTTTATTTGTTGTACCAGGGAACTGATAGGAATTTTGAAGGACCTCTAATTAATCAAACTGGTCTAATATACCACTGGTCCTTCCTGCAGGTGAATCTATTGCTCAATTGTCCCTGCTTCCATTAACATATATGAGCTCTTTGCAATGTGGCTTGCCTAATGCAAATTTGATTCCCCAACACTATAAGTTAATGATAGTGGATCTCAAGGATTGTTTTTTCACCATTCCTTTGGCACAGGGGAAATTTGCTTTTACAGTCCCTGTGTACAACAACTCTCGTCCTACTCAAAGATACCATCTGGGAATGTTGAATTCTCCTACTTTGTGTCAACATTTTGTGGATCTAGCCCTACAACAATTTTGTTTAGAACACCCTGAATTGCTTGTATATCATTACATGGATGGCATTTTGGTGGCAGGGCAATCCCTCCCCACTACTGTCTATGATTCTCTAGCTAACGGCTTAGAGAAAAAAGGCCTTCACATAGCTCCAGAAAAGATGCAAACCACACCTCCATTTTCTTATCTAGGACACAAACTACTGCAAACTACATCTTCTCAATTCTTGCCATAACTAAAAACTCAATCACAGTTCACATTAGTGCAGTTGCAACAGTTCTTTGGGCACTTAAATTAGGCTCATCCATTTTTGTGCCTCTCTATGCATGAATTACAACCTTTGTTTAATGCACTCCAGGGACATCAGTCTCCTGCTGACTCCATATCCATTACCAAGGCTATGAAACATGCCGTACATCAAATTAATGCAGCCTTGCGATGTACCATGGTCGGCCACATTCCTTCTTTTGGTCCCTTGCAGCTGGTCATTTTAAGCACTCCTCGGCTGCCTACCGAATTGTTGTGCAGCCTGAAATCTTTCAAGGCCATTGCTATAGCAGAATGGCTTTATTTACCTAACACTTCTCCCAGAAATGTTTACTCTCAGTGTGATTGCAGATCTTGTAATCAAAGGATGTTATTGTGCCAAACAACTCACAGGCTGGAATCTTCTGTGTTGTTACTTACCTATTTGCAAAGCTGACCAGTATCATTTAATGTCTACGTCTTTAATTTATCAGATTGCTTTTTCAGACTTTTATGGTGACATAGGTTTTAATCGTCCTAAAGACCCTTGCTTAACTTACATTCAGCAAGTACCCTTTCACTTTTCCTCTCTTTTTTCTGCTACTCCTCTCCCTCAAGCTCTAACTGTTTTTACTGATGGTGCGCCTACCAGAGGTGTCGTTACATTTCAGAAACCTCCAGGAACGTGGAAGACTTTTTTTTTTTTATTTAACTTGAGTCTATAATTGCCCTGTTTCAGCTGTGATGGAAAACACGACAAAGGAACACTCTGTCTGAATACCTTCCCTGAAACCTTGATTATCCATGGCACTGTATCACAGAAAGCGCATCAGCAAGCACAATCTCAGCTGGGAAATGACTCAGCGCTTGTCTTGCAAAAGCAACGAGGTTGAGAGGACAAGAAAATTAAAGGTGGGAGAGAAGTATAGGAAAACAACAGCACACACAGTGTTCTTTCATAACCCAAAGCAAGCACTGTATGTTATGTTACCTGCCTCTGAATCACCTTTTCCATCATCGTCCTGAATAGCTCAGACAAGTAAAGCAAAAGATCAAGATGTCTGTTCAGGGAAAGGCAGGCTCCTGATATAAAACAGGCACAACTCTGGCCAGCTGACCTTCTCCTCTTACTGTTAACAAAGCTAGAGGGAAATGCAGGCTTCCAAAGTTCATTTGTTATTTAAAGAAATCTAACAGGTACACAAATACCATGACAGAAAGAGTATCACATTATAGAGGGCCTGATAGCCCTGGCAGCTAGGGACTCTGATATTGCAGAGGTAGGTGAAATTGCTTTGGGTTTTATTCCAAACTAGAGAGGGGCACAAACTGCTGATTTGCCGCAGTTCGTTTAT